GGTGTGGGGTGTTCCAGATATACTTCAATCTGGCCACACACATTAAAATCTGATTGCACAAATTTCTTTTGATTTACCAGCCCAATCAAGCCATTAAATTTGACGTCCTTCATGGAAAAATTGGAAGAATGTTTTCCCACTATAGGAAAAAATGGCAGGTTCGTGGGACGTGTGGTGCATGATAATTTGGTAATTTTGAGGGGGATACTTCTAGAGAAAGAGGGACACTTGGCCACTATGTAGTTTAAATTCGGTCTTTGCACTGCATAGGTGTTGATGGCTGTAAAGGAGATTGTACAAGTTAATTGTAACATGTGACCATGTAACTGTAAGTTCCAGCATACATTGGCTGTCTGTTTCTAACTCAGTCTGTTAGCCTGTCACACGGTTTTCCAGTATTTAATAAATATATGGTCTTAGTTTGACTTTTATTAATAACTAATTTCAGACTATTAAAGGATCAGTCTGCCCATTGTTATACTGATATTTTAGTTTTGTCTAGGTGGCAGCAGATTGAATCACCAACTACTGTTAGATTCTTGTTCATGTGTTCCTAGGTTCATATATCTTACATTTCCGCAGTATGACTGACTGGGACTTGGGGAGGCAGCAGTATGACTGACTGGGACTTGGGGAGGCAGCAGTATGACTGACTGGGACTTGGGGAGGCAGCTCTGGGGGTATATAGTAGTGCTTGCCTACAGGAAAAATGATGGGTGATTCACCTCTTGTGTATACTGTGGGGGTATAGCTCGAATGGGGGATCACCTTCCCTGGGAAAACAGTCCAGGCAGCAAAGTTCTTTTTCTCTCTGAACACATCCAACATGTAGCTCTCTCAGAAGGCTGTCTGAGTCCCAGGCCAGCGCGAAACCATGTCTCAGCCTTCCCCTTTTATCTCACCTGGACAAGCATTCATCAAGCAATCAACTATCCAGGTGAGACCCAAACCCGAGCTAGACTATCCGGACCCAAAGTCAAAGCGAAACCCTGGTCAGGGTTCCACTATTCATGCACATAGGATAGAAAGCGAGGGGAAACATACCGCCCCTCAATGATGTCCCCTCTCCTTATGTCACAATACATATAACACATTATAGTTTTGGGTGGATTGATTCTTTAATTATTAAATAATTGAGCCAACAGTGTTTTAAGATGCCTCTTGCAGAGATCCATTTGATACTTGCATGCAGCCCTCAGTACAGCTCTGTTAGAAGCTTACACATGTGTGACGAAAGATCATGGAAAATGTTCTGGCCACCGTTTCACTTTTTTTTTTTTTTCTCTTTCTTTCCCTCTTTCTTTCAGCAGATGGTTGTCTTGTAGCAATGAAATTAGACAGACAGCTGAGCGTGGAGGGAGTGATTCATTGCTTGGGATTTCCCATGAATCCTGCACAGCCTTAATTCCTATGATCCCTGCGGTCCATGTGGAAAGGGGCGTGACATTTGTACATTTTCTTAGCCAGGCCTTTTTTGTAATCCGAAAATGATGAAAACTGAAGGGAAAGGGGAGAGGAACCTAAGAAGTGCTTCTCCACACAGAAATGCCTACAAGTCTGATTTCCATGCTATCAAATGTTCTTTTGATGGGCTGAAACCAGAGATCTCCCCGAAGCCTGCTTCTATAAAGCCAAACACTAATGGAGCACCAGCTGACCTCACTCGAGGCCGTGCCTCATACGGAAACCGTGTTCACAAAATCAAGAACATGTTTATGCAGATGAGCTCAACTCCCAATGAAAACCTGGTTGAAAGTAAACTTATTAATTCCTCTTCTCCGACAAACCCTTCTGTTGTAAGTGTGCAGAAAAATAATGCCTTAAATATTAGCCCTGATCTACCTGCTCCAGAACGGGTGGTCAAAACGGGTGAGGATGGAGACTTGGACAAAGCAACCCTGGCAGAGAAGTTTTCAGAAACCAGGAAGCTCTTCGAAAGAAGCCTTAATCGACAAACCACTTTTGACACGTCTTCCCCCACCAAGGAAGAGAAAGGGATCAGGCTGGAGCGCAGACATGGATCTGTTGATGACAGTTCTTCATCTGATCTGAGCCCATCAAAGGTAACCAAGATAACATCGGTGGAAAACAGTCAGATCAGTTACAGGTCAACATGTTCCTCCTCCTCCTCTTCTTCTGTAAATGCTGGACCAATTAGCAAGAGATTGGAAAGTTTCCTCGCTGACAGTGATGGTGAGGAATCTAGGGAGCTCTCCAAGACCAATGAGATTTTAATTGATACCACTGGTTCTCCAGTCACATCTAACCACTTGACCTTCCTGAATGATGTAGGAGTGAATAATAATGAAGGGACCACAAATGATATTGCTGGTGTGGAGCACAAATTGGTAAAGACGCAGAGTCTGGACTGTGAACAGAACATAAAAAGTACTGTTACTGAAGAAGACACTTTGTCCTTTCAAAATAACAATACATTCCCAGTCGGGAAGCCATGGGACAGAGAGCCCGCTATGGCGGACAAAACTCAAACTGAAATGGTAAGAGCCGAGCTAGTGGTGTTACAAAACGAGTCATCTGAGAGCGAGGAAGATACTGTCTTAAAAGATGATGTGTTCGATGATCTAAAACCTCTGGATCCTCAGCCTTGTGTTATTGAGCATCTACAGAAGGTAGAGGATGAGGTCAAAGAAGAACAAGAGCTTAACAAAACAAAAGCAGAAGATGGCACAGAGGTCACTGTGAAGGCCACAGTGGAAGCCACAGATGATGCGGATAGCGATGATGAGGAAGAAGAGGGTAGTGAGTTCGAAGAACAGAGTGACAAGAATAAAAACTTGCTGAGATATCCATCTGGAGCTTTTGGCATAGAAAATGCAGCTTTTGATGATGACCAAAATACAGAAACCGAGCAGCCAGGAGCTGATAATGAGAAGTTATTGGGGGCCGAGGATTATGAATTTGGCAGTGATTATGAGGAAGTACCTGGTCTCCCAGAGGAGGAAGAACTACCAGTTAGAAAAGTCAAGTTTTCTACAGCTCCAATAAAGGTATGGCTCATTTATTTTAGCAGCAATTGCCTTTTTAGTTTTATATATTTAGTTTGTCAAAATAAGTTAGGATTTATCTTAATAGTGGGTAAACCATTGTTAGGCTTGTGTACGTGGGCTTCAGACTTCAAGGAAGACCAAATACAGCCATGGGAATGCTTTCAGATGCACTTGTGGAACAATGCATTGCTTTTCAGCTTGATTTGATTTTTACCTTGCATTTATTTTGCATTTAAGATATACATGATGATGAACTGCGCTAATACGCACCTTACGTGAACTAAAGATCTCACTTGAACAGTGTAAGCTGCCATGCTAATGGCATAAATGGGAATAGGACATTGTGCATTTGCAAAAAATGCAGTACAATGTGATGCAAGGAGAAAGCAATGGTGACCACTGCCCCATATGATCCAAAATGAATTAACACTCCTTTCAGAACTTGCAAAAATGCTACACAACTGCATGTGGATAGCAAAACATAAATGACTGAATTGCACCCCTTATGCTGTTTTTGCAGAATTGCTGTCCATGTTTTTAGCTCCTCAGCAATTCTGTCGGTTCTGAATTTTCAGCCAATACCCAGTTGGGATGCAGATATTGATGTCAGCAAGGTATTCAAAAAGCGTACACATTTGGATTCTCATTAAATTACGAGTAATGAACTAGTAAGAAAATCTTTGAATCCTCTAGTCAGTTTGTAGCACTATCAGTGGAAGGCTTTTCTAGTAGACCTGCAGTACACCTGCCACTGTTGGCACAGGAGGAGAGAATGTTTATCTTACTATCCCTGGAGGTCAATAGAAGATTCCTGTTGATCTCTGAAAGCAGTTAACGAATGTGACAATGACCACCCACAGTGTGCTTGGCTCCAGGGGGGCAGCCTTCAGTTAATAATGGTTTCTGGTGATTGTTACAGCTGGAAATTTGACTGCATGGTAAACATGCAATAAGGACAGATTTTGTCTATATCTAGAAATTTTTAGATGCAGCAACCAAGGCAAATTTGATTTTTATTTGTTTTTGTCTTGGTATGACACAATAACATACACTGAAATGCAATTATTGTCTGACAGGCTTTGCCCTTTGCTTTGATCAACAAGTATCCTGATGTTTAAGAAATGCTGAGCTGACTACTTGCCATCTATTTAGGCTACTCTTCACTTACAAAGCCATGCAAGATTTAAAGGAGGGTATTTACATTTTTTGTTTATTTTTTAAGGACCCTTGTTAGATGAGCTCTTAGCCAACTTCCTGCATAGGTCTTGAATCTACCAAACTGCTGTGGTTGGTAAATAGTTCCAAGACCATACACTGATATCACTCTTTGCAACTGTGATGTGCCCATCTTGGGATTAGCTGCAGCCTTGGCACTTGATCTCCAGTGTTGTACTGATGCTTGTTCCTGGTCAGTCGCATATTAGTGTTAGAGAAAATGTCAGGTTTTTAAAGATTGAGAACTTGTACTCACAGTAGATGGAAATGTATGCTTGTCTATGCCGAGGCCCTTTTTTTTTTTTTTTTTTTTTTTTTTTTTTTTCCTTCCCTCTCTTT